CTGGCTGGGCCGACTTAATTTTAGCAAAGACAGTCTAGGACTGTGACAATGGTCATCGAGAAAATTTAGCCATTAACTGAATTCTGTAAAGCTGATCGTACTACGTGAAAATCAACTTTGCAAGACATGAACACGACACCGGGGTGGTAGCTGTAGACAGCTGTTTCACCACTCTTGTGGCTCATCATTACAGCGCAACAAACAGAGAAGCCCTGCCGAAAAATACCCCTCACTCTGTTTTAGAGCCCTGACATTTAACTCCAACACTCACAGAACCACGCCACATCACGTGTCTCCGAGAGGGCGAGAGTTCAAGAGTCGCGTTGATGTCTCGCAAAGAAAATTTAGGATGAACAAAACCAACCTTAGAAATATGGGGAAAACCAAGCAAAATTGAACAGCATATGGGATCTATAAAAGATCTACAGCCCCAAAATAAGTAATAAATTAACATTTAAACCGCAAAGGACTGGAAACGAATTCAGCTGACTGGCGCATCCCCAGTACGATCCCAGAAACAACTGCGGGACGCATTTCGGCTCCAGTTTCCTTTTCGTTTGTTAAGTGGCGATTGTAGACTCGTTTTCATCTTGTCACCTTGATTTGATTTTAACTCTCTTTTGTTTTCGTGCTTACTGATAGTGACGAGTACGTAGATAAAACAAAAAAAACATTAGCTGACGATGAAATTCAACAACAGCAACATGGATTTCCGCCTTTCCGCGTACAATGTGAAAAATAAAATTATAAATGTACAGCTTAAGCTTTGCTAGGCATACCGTCATGTTATCCTGTTATATTTTGTTCCTGGCATATCAACAAGCAGCCGCTTTCTTATCATAGTGTCGCCTGCCCCGGCAACGACCACGAAAACGGTGATGGCGTCAACAACTGCCTTGGATATGCCCACATTAATGGCCATCACATCAACACCTACTTCATATGCGTCGACATGTGCAACAATGACGTCAACACCTGCTTTAGATGCGTCCACATCAACATCAATGACGTCACTTCAATCATCAACGCCATCTATGTATTTAATGTCGTCATCATCAGCTCAACAGGCAGGTATGTAGCTTAGTAACCATTTCTACTCCTCAGACTTAGTTGAAAGTAACGGGGATAGTAGTCGGAAAATTGGAATTGAACGCATAAAGAAATTTAATATGGTGGTAGCTACCCGGATAATGGGACGAAGAAAGAACTAATTATAAAAATATTGCAGAGTTGAATATTTCTATGTCGATTTCTTTCTAACTAGTGGCCAACTGTGGCGCAGACTGGCATAGCTACAACTCAGGTTGCGTACGATTGTTCGATTCGCATAATACAAGAGGAAATGCAAATCAACATTGCAAAACGTTTCGCACTTCCGGTGGTGATTCAGGCAAGTTGGTCAAAATTATGTCCCAGGCTGATAATAACTTGCTTGTTAGCCTCGCAAATATCCAAGGTAAGTAACAATCCCAGCGGAAAAGCCGCGAGAACTTTCTCGCACTGAATAACAATCCCGCCGGCTAGGCAGGCTAGTACTACTCAAGGCCCAAACCGAAAAAGACACCCCATTCAAGGGAAAAACAAAACCTAAGAATTTAATGGCTTAAACTGATACTACTCCTAATAATCTTTGAGATAATTCAATTTGAACAAATGATTTGTTTCCGGGCTCGTGCCTGGGTATTTACGCACTTGAATTTGAGCTGATGTCAATTGAGGTACCTATCTAAGGTTCATACCACTAACACGCTGCCAACAAGCCTTCATAGCCATTCACATCACGAGGAGAAAAAGTTGTTAAAGTATCATTGCAATTCACCTTCTGTAGCCTGCGTAGCAAGCGTTTCCAATCGAGTTATTGCGCGAAAGTTAGAGCGGGAGCAAAAAAAAAAGGTCGACGAACTTGCGAGGAAACACTTGTTACGCAGACTACACCTTCTGGGATCAATTTGATAATTCTGCTGACTACTTTGTTTTGTAAAGAATTGGTATTACAAAGAAAAATTCAGTGCTGATCACTTTTAGTGCCTTAAGGCTCCATGAAGGTCGCGGGAGAGAGAACCCTTTTTTTGCGCCCTCACGGCTTTCACCGCCGCAGATTCTAATTTCCTCTTTCTTTTCCTCTTTGAATGCCTTATTCTATAAATTGAGCTACTTTGCGATTTATGAACGACTGCTGTTGTTTCTTTCCATAGGCAGATACTTCATTGGTTTGAGTGACTATAGTGATGCAGGAAACTATAAGTGGATTGGAGGTATAGTACCTGCTTACACCAACTGGGCCCCAGCTCAACCGCAAAGTTCCAGTACAGATTGCGTGGTCCTTGACATCAGACATCAAGGTGACCCTGATCATGGCAAGTGGCTTTCAGAGCATTGTAGTAACAACCATAAGTTCATTTGTGAGTGCCCGGGCGCATGCACTCAATCATGAACTCCAGTCCGCACAATGCTACGCGTCACTTAAAAACTTCACAACCAAACCACATACCTCTAACAGCATGCCTCTAACTGATACTAAATTTTACACTTAAATCAGTAAACAAATCCTTACGGCAGGAAGAGTGATAGAATTAATAAAAAAAGAGAACAAAAATAAAGTGGTGAATTATATTTGCCCGATATTTCGGTTTGCAACACAGACCTTCTCACGCTGATCACTCTATCAACGAAGTCCTTCTTATTCCCTTAAAACTAATCCGTAGCAACTGCGATTTTAATTTGTCACAAAGGCACGCAAGGCTCACCTCATCGACAAAGCTATGACTTTAGCACCTCATGGTATCGGACGTGATAAACTCAATCGTGACATTTATCTTTTTAGTAGCCTATCAGTCTGTTTGCTATGTACTGAAATCTCGCATATGTCGACGTTCATCTTTTATCTGTATTCATTTTTCTTTTATAGCCCCCGTTGAAGGTTTGTGTTACCACTTTATTTTTGTTCTCTTTCTTTATTTTTTCTATCACTCTTCCCGCCGTAAGGATCAGATTACAGTTTTAAATTTAAAATTTGGTACTCAAGATTTTACTGATCCAGGCCTACTAAAGGTCCGGCGGACCCTCACTGGTTTGTCGTTGTGGTTTTGCCTTCACAAGTGTCTCTAACTGATAATCTACTTGGAATTCAGTTGCTGTTTTTATCATGAGAAGGGCTACAATCAGCGCCGAAAATGTTGAGAAACTGTTGTGAGGGACAACCTAAACCCCTCCCCTATTATAGTTGTTGTTTTCTCTAGGTATCTTCATTTGACCAGGGGCACTAATTGTTTAGGGAGGAGAGGCCAGGGAAAAAGTGCTCTTTTCTTAATTTAATGTAGATAATGAATAAGGTGAGAAATGTAGTTGAGGAAAAACAATCGCAACTACTTTGTCGCCAGTTGTAGCTATAAAAATAACTTGCCTTGAATATAACACGTCACCACCCCATCAAGATTTCGGGATGTTTCGGTGAGTCGACTTTTAAAGTTAGCAAAAATTCCCTCTCTTGCATTGAAATACTTGCCTCTGAGACCTCGTCTCACCTAACTACCAAAGTGAAGGAGATAGGAAAACAGGAGAACCAAGGAATTAGTACTCGTACAAGGGAGCCTCTAATATGTAATATTCACTTGAAAATGTAACATGGGCTACTATCGTCAAGAAATAAAAAATATGTTTCGAGTAATTATGTTTCGAATAAATGTTTGCGCCCCTATATATGCACTGAACTTTATTTCTTGAATCAAAAACGTTTTGGTGATAACACATAGCCTCTGTTAAAGTCGTTTTTAACGGAACCAAGGGTTGTGTTGTGGGGAGAGCTCTCGTACAACCTGTGTTTGCGTCCCCGCGGCGTTGATACCATGCGCAGGTTGAGTCTGTGACTGATCTTTTCTGCTCCGAGGATGAGACTTTTCTCTGAGATTTTCCCTCTCCTAAAAACACTGCATGTCCAAATTCCAGTTCGATTGTAGATTAGGTTCGTAGATGAAGCGGAAACATCGCACTTTGTCATTGTCGATTTGCTTCCAATTTGAATCAAAGTTTTCACAAAGTTTATCGATAAAATGAGCTAACTGGACAGTGTAAATTTAGTAACAGCCGTCTTAGTGAAGTGTACGAGTCGAGTAGAAAGATAGATGATCAATCCCATCCCCCTCCCAAAAAAAGACAAGAACAAGGGTAAATGAAGACTGAGTGATTAAGTATCACATTTTAATAATAGAGTAAATACACTTGAATTGCACGGGCAGCACACATGCTATCTACCCAACGCTGAAGACCAGATTTCTTATGATTATAACAAGATATTAAGATCATGCCATTTAAAACTTCAACCCGCCTAAGCTGTCCTAAATATTAACCTTCACATCATACCCCTATCTGGTAAGCATATATAGCATAAATAGCTTAAGCAATCGGTTACTTCTTATTGTTCAAAAAGTATCAGAGTTGTATTCATTTTAATTGCTTGGACTGAATCTCTCGATCATCGAGTTATATGACGAAATCGCGATCCAACAAACATGTCCGTAGGACATTGTTGCAATTAATATTTTGCAGTATACGTGTATATTGTATTAACATAAAGTAGCATTCACGAAATATACAGAAAGATTTCCCACAACAGAGTCTGGCGAGGAAATTCACCCGGGGGGTACTCCCCTATAAAAGTGACGGGGGGCGCTCGTCGTACCTTTTAGGGGTTTAAATTTGGTTTAAATTGATACCGTTTAGGGTTCTTAAACCTAAAATGACTGCTGCCACCTTTATTAGGATAACGATTTATGACAAAAAGTCCTTGAGAACTGAAAGTTATCTTTAATACTATCAAAATTTGCAGTGCCAGTGATATGAATTGGTATCTCTTAGGGGTGGAAATGAATTTGGGACACGCCCATAAAACAAAATTCTGGTACCTTTTAGGGGTGTTCTCGAAATTTTCCGACGAGCACCCCGTCACTTTTATAGAGGAGTACTCTCCTCCGGAGAACTTCAATTCTTGGTGGACTGTGGTCACCACTGAGAACCTCGATCTGATCTGATATTGTAGCGCTCTTTAACTCTCACTCAGGTTCATTCGTATTATATTTCTTTTACAAAAGAGAAGTAAAACACCCCAATGCAAAAGTATCCCATGAAACAGATTTTTATAAGCAGGATGAAATGATGAAATGCTCATCGGGGCTAGCCTTGTCAGATCATATGGGAGTTTCCTCCTCGTCGCTGGCTTTAAGCAGGCCATTTCCACGCAGACGAGTCGTTGAAGGAGGTCGTTTCACATGGCTGTTATCCCTGACAGAAGTATTCTGGGTGTACTTTACCGACGTCTCTGGCCTGAGACCCAAACTGGAAAATTTACAATGAATGAAATCTCGCAGGACCCTGCGGAATTTATCAGTTAAAAGCATGTAAAGCCATGGGTTAAAGGCGCTATTGGTATGCCCAAGCCAAAAACACATGTACATTACAATTTGAGGTGACTGTTCATGAAGTCCGTAGTCAAATCCAAAAATGAGATGATATGCTTGAGTTGGGAGCCAGCAAACAGCGAAGACAGCGGTGATTATGATAAGAGTGCGCACCACTTTTCGTTTTGTTGCCCCTCTGCGTCGCTCGGTTTCTGAAGTTACCAATCCAGGCATCTGTCGGCGCCACAATTTGAAGCAAACACGGCCATAAAGCACAGATATCACAGAGAGTGGAGTTAGGTAGAACAACAGGAAAAGGTATAGGTAGTATCCACGCATACCCTGCATTTCGTCAGTTCCAAACACGGTAAACTCTGCTACACAATCTCCACGTTGATCCACGGTCCACATAACGGCTACTGGGACCATGACTATCACAGACACCAGCCAAATGACAAGAGTTAGGAGTTTGGGACGTCGAAATGTGGTGAAATTTCGCAAAGGAAATAGCACGGCCAAGTAGCGATCTATCGCCATAAACATCAAACTCAAAATAGACGCAGCAATGGTAACATGAAAGACAAAATAAACTCCTCTGCATGTGATGTCTCCAAAGAGACCAGTCAACCACTTTGATCCGGTATAAGGAGTTGACATAGTAGCAGGCAGGACAAAAATCGCTACTATGAGGTCAGCGACAGCCATGTTGACGAACAGGAAGCCAGTTAACGTCCTTGTCTCACGCCTTTTAATGATGATAAAAATTAAAAGCAAATTTCCTGTCACGGCCCCAATGAGTGTCAGAGAGTACAGCACTGTGATGATCACGGTGTGTGAAGTTGATAGGCTGGTAGAAGGCGCCACAGTTGTATTATCTATTTAACAATAGAGAATTATTAATGTTCCCGTCCGGCCCGACCTAACTCAGTCAATAAGCATTTTATCAGATGACCGTTGTGTTTTTGAAATTTTCTGACGAAGCAAAAACGCGTTCATGGCAGCATTTTCCTCGTTTCGCACTCAGGGCCTCACGCGTTTTTCTTGAGGCGTACGGCCCTCATTCGTGTCTTTTTGGTGCTCTAACGAAATTGTGCACAGGACCGTAAGTTACATCATGATTCTAGACAGCCGCCAATTAGATCCGCCATCTTGGGTTTTCGACAGGAGTAAAACAAAACGGGCGACTGATTAGATAAATAGAAAAGTAACCACATGGAATTAAAACTAACAAAGTGACATGGTTGCATGCGTCAAAATAGTGAAAAGCAGATTTCAACCGTTGTCTAAATCAAATCAGAAAAGCGCGAAACAGTAGGTAAGTCCTTACGCTACGATGTCAGTTTTAGCTTGCACTGAACCATTTGCTAATGACGTGTCATTTCATTGTCCGAAACAGTTGATCAAATAACCTAGGGTATTTTTAAAAGGTGAACTGCTTACCATAGGAAAAATTCATGATTGACCGTAGACAAGGTGATGATGATTTGTACAAAAGACTCAGGGACTGACTGTTTTACCGACAGACGTCCCTTTTCACGTCGCCGTCATTCAGGAATTGAATAAAAATAATGCATGCACGGCACTTGCACTCATTCCAGAACAAAAACAGAACAGACTCAATTAAACAAAACAAATTTTTATCAATGGCACGTGACCAGAGTCGGTAAATCAAGCGAGGGAAAAGTTTCATTAACTAATCCAAGATGTTTTAAATTCGTTATATAAACAGTGTATTATAAAGTTTAATATACGGTACAAATATGGCAAAAGGTGAATTATAAGCCTTTACAACAAACTCAGGTTGTTCAGTCGAGCGATTTGTTCATTAATAATAAATGTGTATGACACCTATTTCTACATATTGCAAATGTTCGCGATAATTCAAAAACCGCATAATGGTGGTAAATTGACACAAAACAGCAGATCCCATTGGAGTCCAAGTAGAAAAGGCTACATTTAGTAATAATTAGCTTTCGCCAATTGCAAAGTTTAAGGGCGACAGATCATAAGAGGTAACAACTGAAAATTAACGGCAAAAGGCCTCAAACAACTATAGCTAAGTCAACAAAAGTCGAGTCTGTGCATAATTAAAACTAAAGAAGTCATTAGAAACAAGAAAAACAGCCTAAGGCCTGTTTCAAACGTCGTGCTACTGCCCTGCTAAGCTGGCTCGACTGTAGCTCCACTGCAGCACGACGACACTAGCACGACTTGGTTTCAGACGTCGAATTTAATTCACACAACGACAGTCGAATGGCACGGCTGTTGCCAAAAACAAAACACAAAAATAAAGAAACGGTTTGGCAAACTTTTAAGTATATTCTAATGTATTTATAATTTATAAATTGAGTTCGGCACGGCGGTAGCACGAGGTTTGAAACCAAGTCGAGCTGTACTGCCGTGTAGCACGGCAAGGCTTGCCGTGCTACACGGCAGTAGCACGACTTGGTCCTTAGTTTATCTCACTAGCCTCCCACGCAGACATTCTTAGGGGTTCGTCACGCGTTCCTGCCCCACTAAGTTAGTCTCCAGTCTCTTACATGTTTAAAAACATTTTGAAACCCTGCACGACACGTAATAAATTAATTGTAACCTGGTTATTGGGTCAAAAATAGAGATAAGTAATTTGACTCAAACCAATGTGAACGAAACTCAACGGAAACTTATTACCAACGACATGAATCCAAGATAACATTTGGTTGAGATCATATATTCGTTTATCACGAGTATCAGGCAAGAAATGATGGAATCTGATTGGCTCAGTTGACATGAGTTTCCCAATTTATGCTTGTTACCAGAAAATAGACAAAATTGAAAACAAAATAAACAGGAACTTGTTTTACATACAGCTGTGAATATAATTTTGCTTGTTGCTAAAAATCTATAAAAATCTACCAGAGAAATTTTTTTCATAGTTATTTCAATAAAAGGTAACCATGATAATAAGCTGTCACCACGAGTCCGCATGCATGTATACACGCAACTGGTGTATATGTTGTAGTTAATTTTTTATCTCAGGTAATTTTTATTTTTCCATTGTTTTTGGGTATGGTAATATATGCTAATGAATTTGAAACAAATTAAGGAAAAACGAAAATTGTCTGAAATAAAAAGTTATAATTAACTGCAACATATATGTCAGATAAGCAAACGCAAACTGATCTCAAATTTGATTTTGTTCATGCATGTAATATAACGTTTTTAAGCATGTAAAAAATTGACTTTTAAAGTAAAGGTGCTGTGGAAGTGAAAAACAATTATGAAATGATTGTTTTTTTTGGCTAAAATTTTGTTATATCAAAATTTTTCGAGAATTTTGGCACTTTTGTAACATGACGAACGACTTAGGCTAGCAGATCGGACGAAATGGCGGCCATTTCAATTCAGAGAGGCACAAGAACACATAGCGCTAAGACAGATTAGTTGACCAGTGGTTTTACAGAAAACATGGCGTTGATATGGGTGTCAGGTCACGTGACGTCTTTGCGTCAAGTGAACTATTGATTGTGTTTGTGCCTTCCTTTGAGATTCAGTCACATCGTACTGTATTGCGTTTTGCCCAAGCTGTCTACGACCAAGCCTGAAAAATCTTTCACGATACAGGGGCGGATCCAGGGGGAGGGTGCAGGGGGTGCGCACCCCCCCTGGGATGACATGCGGCCGCTTTCTAATTAACACTGTGCAGTCGCTTGACAGACATACAAAATCTGCTCTATCGTTTGATAAGTATTCTCAGCAGTTCACATTATGTTATTTCCTAGTCAAAAGCCCTCTTCTTCGTATTCGCTTTTAAAATTTTTTACGTCATCGATCAGTTAGTGGTGCACCCCCTCCTAAGAAAAATCCTGGATCCGCCCCTGCGATAAACAAGTCCAGTTCAATAACATGACATAACATAACTAACACAGAATCTTTAAACTTAAAAAAAAATTCTCAAATATTCTTTTCCAGGATAATTTAAATGCTAAAAACTTCCTAATAGAAGAGAAAAGTGTTTAAGAAGGTTAGTAGTTTTCAACTGAATTCCAGTAATGTGGAGTACTGATTTAAGGAAACTGGCCGGGCCGACTCAACTTTAGCAAAGACAGTCTAGGACTGTGACAATGGTCATCGAGAAAATTTAGCCATTAACTGAATTCTGTAAAGCTGATCGTACTACGTGAAAATCAACTTTGCAAGACATGAACACGACACCGGGGTGGTAGCTGTAGACAGCTGTTTCACCACTCTTGTGGCTCATCATTACGGCGCAACAAACAGAGAAGCTCTGCCGAAAAATACCCCCTCGCTCTGTTTTAGAGCCCTGACATTTAACTCCAACACTCACAGAACCACGCCACATCACGTGTCTCCGAGAGGGCAAGAGTCCAAGAGTCGCGTTGATGTCTCGCAAAGAAAATTTAGGATGAACAAAACCAACCTTAGAAATATGGGGAAAACCAAGCAAAATTGAACAGCATATCAGATCTATAAAAGATCTACAGCCCCAAAATAAGTAATAAATTAACATTGAAACCGCAAAGGACTGGAAACGAATTCAGCTGACTGGCGCGTCCCAAGTACGATCCCAGAAACAATTTTGGGACGCATTTCGGCTCCAGTTGCGTCCTTCTCGTTTGTTAAGTGGCGATTTTAGACTCGTTTTCACCTTGTTACCTTGATTTGATTTTAACTCTCTTTTGTTTTCGTGCTTACTGATAGTGACGAGTACGTAGATAAAACAAAGAGGTACAAAAAAAATTAGCTGACGATGAAATTTAACAACAGCAACATGCATTTACGCCTTTGCGCGTACAATGTTAAAAATAAAATTATAAATGTACAGCTTAAGCTTTGCGAGATATACCGTCATGTTTTCCTGTTATATTTTGTTCCTGGGATATCAACAAACAGCCTCTTTCTTATCATAGTGTCGTCTGCCCTGCCAACGACCACGACAACGGTGATGGCGTCAACAACTGCCTTGGATATGCGCACATTAATGGCCATCACATCAATACCCACTTCAGATGCGTCGACATGTACAACAATGACGTCAACACCTGCTTTAGATGCGTCCACATCAACATCAATGACGTCACTTCAATCTTCAACGTCATCTGTGTATTTAATGTCGTCATCATAAGCTCAACGGGCAGGTATGTAGCTTAGTAACCATTTCTACTCCTCAGACTTAGTTGAAAGTAACGGGGATAGTAGTCGGAGAATTAGAATTGAACGCAGAAAGAAAATTAATATGTGCGTGGCTACCCAGATAATGGGACGAAGAAAGAACTAATTGTAAAAATATTGCAGAGTTTGAATATTTCTATGTCGATTTCCTTCTAACTAGTGGTCAACTGTGGCGCAGACTGGCATAGCTACAACTCAGGTTGCGTACGATTGTTCGAGTCGCATAATACAAGAGGAAATGCAAATCAACATTGCAAAACGTTTCGCACTTCCGGTGGTGATTCAGGCAAGTTGGTCAAAATTATGTCTCAGGCTGATAATAACTTGCTTGTTAGCCTCGCAAATATCCAAGGTAAGTAACAATCCCAGTTGGGGGGGGAAGGGGGGAAGGATAGTTACATAAATTTCGGATAGGTGTGTGCCGCCCAAGGTCCGAGTTCCTGATCCTAATAAAGAATGAGAGAAACGAAAATTGGTACCCTATTAGCCTGCATAGTTTGCTGAATAGTTTTTGGCGCGTGTGAGGGTTTTGGCGGAAAAGCCGCGAGAACTTTCTCGCGCTGAATAACAATCCCGCCGGCTAGGCAGGCTAGTACCCTACTCAAGGACCAAACCCGAAAAAGACACCCCATTCAAGGGAAAAACAAAACCTGAGAATTTAATGGCTTAAACTGATACTACTCCTAATAATCTTTGAGATAATTCAATTTTAACAAATGATTTGTTTCTGGGCTCGAGCCTGGGTATTTACGCACTTGAATTTTGGCTGATGTCAATTGAGGTACCTATCTAAGGTTCATACCACTAACACGCTGCCAACAAGCCTTCATAGCCATTCACATCACGAGGAGAAAAAGTTGTTAAAGTATCATTGCAATTCACCTTCTGTAGCCTGCGTAGCAAGCGTTTCCAATCGAGTTATTGCGCGAAAGTTAGAGCGGGAGCAAAAAAAAAGGTCGACGAACTTGCGAGGAAACGCTTGTTACGCAGGCAACACCTTCTGTGATCAATTTGATAATTCTGCTGACTACTTTGTTTTGTAAAGAATTGGTATTACAAAGAAAAATTCAGTGCTGATCACCTTTAGTGCCTTAAGGCTCCATGAAGGTCGCGTGAGAGAGGACCCTTTTTTTGCGCCCTCACGGCTTTCACCGCCGCAGATTCTAATTGCCTCTTTCTTTTCTCCTTTGAACGCCTTATTCTACAAAATGAGCTACTTTGCGATTTATGAACGATTACTGTTGTTTCTTTCCATAGGCAGATACTTCATTGGTTTGAGTGACTATAGTGATGCAGGAAACTATAAGTGGATTGGAGGTATAGTACCTGCTTACACCAACTGGGCCCCAACTCACCCGCAAAGCTCGAGTACAGATTGCGTGGTCCTTGACATCAGACATCAAGGTGACCCTGATCATGGCAAGTGGCTTTCAGAGCATTGTAGTAACAACCATAAGTTCATTTGTGAGTGCCCGGGAGCATGCACTCAATCATGAACTCCAGTCCGCACGATCCTACGCGCCACTTAAAAACTTCCCAACCAAACCACATACCTCTAACAGCATGCCTCTAACTGATACTAAATTTTAAACTTAAACCAGTAAACAAATCCTTACGGCAGGAAGAGTGATAGAATTAATAAAAAAAGAGAACAAAAATCAAGTGGTTAATTATATTTGCCCGATATTTCGGTTTGCAACACAAACCTTCTCAAGCTGATCACTCTATCAACGAAGTCCTTCTTATTCCCTTAAAACTAATCCGTAGCAACTGCGATTTTAATTTGTCACAAAGGCACGCAAGGCTCACCTCATCGACAAAGCTATGACTTTAGAACCTCATGGTATCGGACGTGATAAACTCAATCGTGAAATTTATCTTTTTAGTAGCCTATCAGTCTGTTTGCTATGTACTGAAATCTCGCATATGTCGACGTTCATCTTTTATCTGTATTCATTTTTCTTTTATAGCCCCCGTTGAAGGTTTGTGTTACCACTTTATTTTTGTTCTCTTTCTGTATTTTTTCTATCACTCTTCCCGCCGTAAGGATCAGATTACAGTTTTAAATTTAAAATTTGGTACTCAAGATTTTACTGATCCAGGCCTACTAAAGGTCCGGCGGACCCTCACTGGTTTGTCGTTGTGGTTTTGCCTTCACAAGTGTCTCTAACTGATAATCTACTTGGAATTCAGTTGCTGTTTTTATCATGAGAAGGGCTACAATCAGCGCCGAAAATGTTGAGAAACTGTTGTGAGGAACAACCTAAACCCCTCCCCTATTATAGTTGTTGTTTTCTCTAGGTATCTTCGTTTGACCAGGGGCACTAATTGTTTAGGGAGGAGAGGCCAGGGAAAAAGTGCTCTTTTCTTAATTTAATGTAGATAATGAATAAGGTGAGAAATGTAGTTGAGGAAAAACAATCGCAACTACTTTGTCGCCAGTTGTAGCTATAAAAACAACTTGCCTTGAATATAACACGTCACCACCCCATCAAGATTTTGGGATGTTTCGGTGAGTCGACTTTTAAAGTTAGCAAAAATTCCCTCTCTTGCATTGAAATACTTGCCTCTGAGACCTCGTCTCACCTAACTACCAAAGTGAAGGAGATAGGAAAACAGGAAAACCAAGGAATTAGTACTCGTACAAGGGAGCCTCTAATATGTAATATTTACTTGAAAATGTAACATGGGCTACTATCGTCAAGAAATAAAAAATATGTTTCGAGTAATTATGTTTCGAATAAATGTTTGCGCCCCTATATATGCACTGAACTTTATTTCTTGAATCAAAAACGTTTTGGTGATAACACATAGCCTCGTTTAAGTTCTTTTTTTAGGGAACCAAGGGTTGTGTTGTGGGGAGAGCTCTCGTACAACCTGTGTTTGCGTCCCCGCGGCGTTGATACCATGCGCAGGTTGAGTCTGTGACATCTTTTCTGCTCCGAGGATGAGACTTTTCTCTGAGATTTTCCCTCTCCTAAAAACACTGCACGTCCAAATTCCAGTTCGATTGTAGATTAGGTTCGTAGATGAAGCGGAAACATCGCACTTTGTCATTGTGGATTTGCTTCCAATTTGAATCAAAGTTTTCACAAAGTTTATCGATAAAATGAGCTAACTGGACAGTGTAAATTTAGTAACAGCCGTCTTAGTGAAGTGTACGAGTCGAGTAGAAAGATAGATGATCAATCCCATCCCCCTCCCAAAAAAAGACAAGAACAAGGGTAAATGAAGACTGAGTGATTAAGTATTACATTTTAATAATAGAGTAAATACACTTGAATTGCACGGGCAGCACACATGCTATCTACCCAACGCTGAAGACCAAATTTCTTATGATTATAACAAGATATTAAGATAATGCCATTTAAAACTTCAACCCGCCTAAGCTGTCCTAAATATTAACCTTCACATCATACCCCTATCTGGTAAGCATATATAGCATAAATAGCTTAAGCAATCGGTTACTTCTTATTGTTCAAAAAGTATCAGAGTTGTATTCATTTTAATTGCTTGGACTGAATCTCTCGATCATCGTGTTATATGACGAAATCGCGATCCAACAAACATGTTCGTAGGACATTGTTGCAATTAATATTTTGCAGTATACGTGTATATTGTATTAACATAAAGTAGCATTCACGAAATATACAGAAAGATGTCCCACAAGAGAGTCTGGCGAGGAAATTCACCCGGGGGTACTCCCCTATAAAAGTGACGGGGGGCGCTCGTCGTACCTTTTAGGGGTTTAAATTTGGTTTAAATTTGGTTTAAATTGATACCGTTTAGGGTTCTTAAACCTAAAATGACTGCTGCCACCTTTATTAGGATAACGATTTATGACAAAACGTCCTTGAGAACTGAAAGTTATCTTTAATACTATTAAAATTTGCAGTGCCAGTGATATGAATTGGTATCTCTTAGGGGTGGAAATGAATTTGGGACACGCCCATAAAACAAAATTCTGGTACCTTTTAGGGGTGTTCTCGAAATTTTCCGACGAGCACCCCGTCACTTTTATAGAGGAGTACCCTCTTCCGGAGAACTTCAATTCTTGGTGGACTGTGGTCACCACTGAGAACCTCGATCTGATCTGATATTGTAGCGCTCTTTAACTCTCACTCAGGTTGATTCGTATTATATTTCTTTTACAAAAGAGAAGTGAAACACCCCAATGCAAAAGTATCCCATGAAACAGATTTTTATAAGCAGGATGAAATGATGAAATGCTCACATGATCGGAGCTAGCCTTGTCAGATCATATGGGAGTTTCCTCCTCGTCGCTGGCTTTAAGCAGGCCATTTCCACGCAGACGAGTCGTTGAAGGAGGTCGTTTCACATGGCTGTTATCCCTGACAGAAGTATTCTGGGTGTACTTTACCGACGTCTCTGGCCTGAGACCCAAACTGGAAAATTTACAATGAATGAAATCTCGCAGGACCCTGCGGAATTTATCAGTTAAAAGCATGTAAAGCCATGGGTTAAAGGCGCTATTGGTATGCCCAAGCCAAAAACACATGTACATTACAATTTGAGGCAACTGTTCATGAAGTCCGTAGTCAAATCCAAGAATGAGATGATATGCTTGAGTTGGGAGCCAGCAAACAGCGAAGACAGCGGTGATTATGATAAGAGTGCGCACCACTTTTCGTTTTGTTGCCCCTCTGCGTCGCTCGGTTTCTGAAGTTACCAATCCAGGCATCTGTCGGCGCCACAATTTGAAGCAAACACGGCCATAAAGCACAGATATCACAGAGAGTGGGGTTAGGTAGAACAACAGGAAAAGGTATAGGTAGTATCCACGCATACCCTGCATTTCGTCAGTTCCAAACACGGTAAACTCTGCTGCACAATTTCCATGTTGATTCACGGTCCACATAACGGCTACCGGGACCATGACTATCGCAGACACCAGCCAAATGACAAGAGTTAGGAGTTTGGGACGTCGAAATGTGGTGAAATTTCGCAAAGGAAATAGCACGGTCAAGTAGCGATCTATCGCCATAAATATCAAACTCAAAATAGACGCAGAAATGGTAACATGAAAGACAAAATAAACTCCTCTGCATGTGATGTCTCCAAAGAGACCAGTCAACCACTTTGATCCGGTATAAGGAGTTGACATAGTAGCAGGCAGGACAAAAATCGCCACTATGAGGTCAGCAACAGCCATGTTGACGAACAGGAAGCCAGTTAACGTCCTTGTCTCACGCCTTTTAATGATGATAAAAATTAACAGCAAATTTCCTGTCACGGCCCCAATGAGTGACAGAGAGTACAGCACTGTGATGATCACGGTGTGTGAAGTTGATAGGCTGGTAGAAGACGCCACAGTTGTATTATCTGTTTAACAATAGAGAATTATTAATGTTCCCGTCCGGCCCGACCTAACTCAGTCAATAAGCATTTTATCAGATGACCGTTATGTTTTTGAAATTTTCTGACGAAGCAAAAACGCGTTCATGGCAGCATTTTCCTCGTTTCGCACTCAGGGCCTCACGCGTTTTTCTTGAGGCGTACGGCCCTCATACGTGTCTTTTTGGTGTTCTAACGAAATTGTGCACAGGACCGTAAGTTACATCATGATTCAGCCGCCAATTAGATCCGCCATCTTGGGTTTTCGACAGGAGTAAAACAAAACGGGCGACTGATTAGATAGATAGAAAAGTCCCCACATGGAATTAAAACTAACAAAGTGACGTGGTTGCATGCGTCAAAATAGTGAAAAGTATATTTTTGAGCTTTCCGTTAATTTGATGGAAAATAACCTCACAACAGAGAGCCTAGGATTAAGTAGAGGCGAATTCTGTATTACTCTCCTTCATAAGCAGATTTCAAATCAGAAAAGCGCGAAACAGTAGGTAAGTCCTTACGCTACGACGTCAGTTTTAGCTTGCACTGAACCATTTGCTAATGTCGTGTCATTTCATTGTCCGAAACAGTTGATCAAATAACCTATTTTTAAAAGGTGAACTACTTGCCATAGGAAAAATTCATGATTGACCGTAGACAAGGTGATGATAATTTGTACAAAAGACTCAGGGACTGACTGTTTTACCGACAGACGTCCCTTTTCACGTCGCCGTCATTCAGGAATTGAATAAAAATAATGCATGCACGGCACTTGAACTCATTCCAGAACAAAAACAGAACAGACTCAATTAAACAAAACAAATTTTTATCAATGGCACGTGACCAGAGTCGGTAAATCAAGCGAGGGAAAAGTTTCATTAACTAATCCAAGATGTTTTAAATTCGTTATATAAACAGTGTATTATAAAGTTTAATATACGGTACAAATATGGCAAAAGGTGAATTATAAGCCTTTACAACAAACTCAGGTTGTTCAGTCGAGCGATTTGATCATTAATAATAAATGTGTATGACACCTATTTCTACATATTGCAAAGTTCGTGATAATTCAAAAACCGCATAATGGTGGTAAATTGACACAAAACAGCAGATCCCATTGGAGTCCAAGTAGAAAAGGCTACATTTAGTAATAATTAGCTTTGGCCAATTGCAAAGTTTAAGGGCGACAGATCATAAGAGGTAACAACTGAAAATTAACTGCAAAAGGCCTCAAACAAGTCTACAAAAGTCGAGTCTGTGCATAATTAAAACTAAAGAAGTCATTAGAAACAAGAAAAACCGCCTAAGGCCTGTTTCAAACGTCGTGCTACTGCCCTGCTAAGCTGGCTCGACTGTAGCTCCACTGCAGCACGACGACACTAGCACGACTTGGTTTCAGACGTCGAATTTAATTCACACAACGACAGTCGAATGGCACGGCTGTTGCAAAAAACAAAACACAAAAATAAAGAAACGGTTTAACAAACTTTTAAGTATATTCTAATGTATTTATAATTTATAAATTGAGTTCGGCACGGCGGTAGCACGAGGTTTGAAACCAAGTCGAGCTGTACTGCCGTGTAGCACGGCAAGGCTTGCCGTGCTACACGGCAGTAGCACGACTTGGTCCTTAGTTTATCTCATTAGCCTCCCACGCAGACATTCTTAGGGGTTCGTCACGCGTTCCTGCCCCACTAAGTTAGTCTCCAGTCTCTTACATGTTTAAAAACATTTTGAAACCCTGCACGACACGTAATGAATTAATTGTAACCTGGTTATTGGGTCAAAAATAGAGATAAGCAATTGGACTCAAACCAATGTGAACGAAAGGTAACGGAAATTTATCACCAACGACATGAATCCAAGATAACATTTGTTGAGATCATATATTCGTTTATCACGAGTATCAGGCAAGAAATGATGGAATCTGATTGGCTCAGTTGACATGAGTTTCCCAATTTATGCTTGTACCAGAAAATAGACAAAATTGAAAACAAAATAAACAGGAACTTGTTTTACATACAGCTGTGAATATAATTTTGCTTGTTGCTAAGAATCTATAAAAATCTACCAGAGAAATTTTTTTCATAGTTATTTCAATAAAAGGTAACCATGATAATAAGCTGTCACCACGAATAAAATAAAATAATTGATCAGTGGCAGCCATCTATTCCTACTTTTGCATTACATACTTGAAAGCATCACGTATCCTTGTATGTCTTGATATATGTCAGTCATTGGAGTTTTGGAAAATGCAAATTTCGTATAATGCGACCCGTGTTAAAATTTGGAACCTTTTTCTTTTCTCCAAAAATTTTATCGCCAAAAATTTTGAAGTTAAAAAAATTCGAAGGAAAAAAAAATTTGAAGTTAAAAAAAATCGCTCTTGCGCGACCCGGGTCGAAATGTTCAGAAAGCCTATTTTTGAGAACTTGGCCCATGGTTTTTCCACTTCAAAGATTCTTCTGGAGCCAGAAGTCCGCCATGGAAGATCAGCTGAAATAGTGAGATTTCAATACCTCACCCGTTGACGGTTAATATTACTGTACATTTTTGACGGTTGACGGTAAAAAATAACCGTTTGTAACGGTTGACGGTTAAATCTTAGGCCGTTTGACGACTGAGGGTTAACCCTATTGAGACTCTTATATAATGGTCACACTATAGAATTTTGTTCACGGACCCAAAAGATGGATTTTGAAGATATCTCCATGTTTTGTCTCTGCACTCTTTTTTTTCTTTTTTGTTTAAGAACGTTGTTTCTCCAGCCAGGTTGAATATTCTTATTTTTCTGCCGATTTTAGGCTGAAAATATTGTTGTATCATTCTTAAATTATAGCTTAATTATAACATTTCCGTTTTAGAATATAATGGGGTGATTATAGTAATTGCAGGTTTTTTCGTTTTGTTGGCAAGTTTTGCCGTTTAGAGAATGGAATAAGTTGAAAACATATAATTGTACTGTATTTAAATTTTTGAACACATCAAAATTACACCCTTTTCAAACGGCTCAGCCTGGGGTTTATTCTTAAACTATTCTTAAAATTTCGCAAATTTCAGCCTCGCTATTCTTATAAAATATATTCTTATCAAAAAAAAAGAGTGTATTCAATGATTATTTCATTCAGTTGCAGCCTATTTCCGACTAACTATTAATTAATTATTTATTTTTTATCTTTTTTAACGGCATAGCCCAGTATTGCCCAAATGAATCACGTACGGCGTTCTAATAAGGCTATTATAATATAATTTGCTTTATCATATCTGAGTTCACAGACACTACACTGACAGGCGGTTATTAATTTGCGTGGGGCATATTTTTGTTTTCGTAATGACGACGACCTTGTAAATGTTTCGAACTGTAGAAAACCCTTAATCCAATTTCAAGAGTTTAAGGTGTCTTTAAGAACCTGTAAATCCATAAATTGCTCCTCACAGATCAAAAGTACTTAATTAGAGAGAAGAAATACAAATTGACTCCCCTTTGCATTGGTGTTCAGAATTTTACTCTTGAAGGATAAATTTTTGAAGAAAAGACCATGTTAAGGTTATCTGAGAAACCTTGCTAGATCAATATCAACTTTGGAATCTACCGCAAAGCTATTTCTTTTATAAAAACGTGCATTTATTTACAGATGAAAATCGTTGACGATTTAAAAGATTAATCTAACAATTTTCACAATCATTAAAAAAAATTGTTAAGCAAGAATTATGTTTCAAAGAGAAAGACGTCTTTAAACCTTGGCCTAATTTTACCGTAGGTTTTTCTAATCGGCTTTCTTGACATCAGAACTAACCGATGGTGTGTACACTAAAGATACAGCCTTACATACTGGTCTTAAGTCACCGAAGTCGCTGGATATAGCCGGTAAAACTTTATAAGTTCCTTTTATACTCAGTTATACTGCAAATCGTGATCGAGTCAGAACTGAGCAGGAAAACATAACCTTGTGTTGTACGGGGTTGCCGATTTAAAAACGTTATCATCGGGGAAACAGGCATTGCAGAAATTTTATCTTTGGCACATCAAACAAAATTTTTCAAATTTGCCTTCCGTGCAAATTCTAGCTGTGCCAGGCTCTCAGATAGTATAGTGGGGACGTATTAAAACGAACAAAGCGAAAATAAGACGCGCGCGACTTGGGAAAGGGGGCGCGTTTTAATCGCATTTCTCCCCGCCGCGTGTCGCCTTTTCTCGCGTGGGGTGATCTTCAAGCGCGCTCGCGTTTCGCTCGCTCTACTATCCCTGAAGAAAAATGGGGACTACTCGTAGTCTAGTTATTCTTTCACCGAAACGTTAAAGCGGGATGAAAGACGACGAGATGAAAGATATACATTACACACAAAGCAAACAGAACTGCGATAAAAGTCGTAAATTAAACGACAATATTTTCAAGCAAAGAGGGTATAGCTTAGTAAAATGTATGAAATATTTATGGAAATCTGTGACAGCATGTGCCTCACTCTCTGTCTCTATTATTTAACGTCACGCGAAACCAGGCTTCACATCCTAAATCAAAATCCATTAAAAATCTCATATGAATTAACTATTACACGAAAAGTTGTAATCTTCTCCTCTGCGAATTCAAGTTTGGGCGGCAGACATTTTCGATATTGCAAGTTAATGCCTAAATGTGTTCAACCGAGGAACTTAAACAAACGAATTGACATTAAAAGGCCCGATGATTGATGAGAAAGCTTGGCTATGAGTAGAATTCAACCTTACCATCAGATGAATTCATCTTTCTTCCTCAGTAAACGTCCGTATCACACTAACAGCGCAACAGAAGGACGATTGGTGATGGCAACGTATTTTAATACTGAAGCATCTGCTTGGTGTCACTCATAAAATAAGCCATCACGTATTTTGTGGATTGTGTACTTTTGTTTATATCAGAGGCGGTTTAATAGGTCAACAGGAAATTGCCGCAGACTTCATATTTCAATTAGCAGAAAATCCTCCCCCTAATAAGCAGCAGAGACAGCAATTTAATAACTGCCTATAGGTTTCTTTTTTCGTTGTTTTTTTTAAGAACATTAATCATTTAACCCTTTAAGAGTGAACAGCATCAATTTTCTCCTTGTACATCACCGCTTTGTAAAAAAGAGTGGCCATGAGAATTACGAACATGATCACACAAGATGAATTTGCTTGATATTTTCTCAACTTCTCCCCACTACTTCTGTAGGAAGTGAATAGGGGCAACAAATGAGAATTCAAATTTTAATCTTAGGGTTTAATAGGTGAAGAGCGGCGGCAATCGAGTCCAGCAAAAGACTGGCTTTTACATGGGGTTGAAGGAAGCTTAAATTTGGCTTTTCTTTACAGAGTATTTGACTAACTTTGTAGTCAGTGAAAAACAAAGCATTACTCTTGAACGTGCTTAGGCAACAAAACCAGGTATCCAGCCACCCAAGTGTGAGATATTGAGTACAATTAGGAAATGCTTGAAAAAAAACACGGCCGGTGTTGCACCCACGCACAATACTGAAATTACATACTTTGATCGTCAGTGTGATTGACAAGCAGTATTCAACTAAATCGTGCTGTAAAACCACTTCTAAAATTAAATGCAATTCGCCTATACACAACACGTAAAATTAACACATTGCGATTAAGCAAATAATAGTTAAGGTATAAGGTTTCATGTCCTACTATATTTTACTTCAATGTATATGAAAGTTAATAATTTCCACAGTGGCTTTCAGGAGAAAAATTAAAAATAAAAAACAGAAGTGTTGTAAGTGAAAACAGATCCACGAAAAAAGAAAGAAAGAAAAAAAAACATAAAAGGGAAAAGAGAAAACAAACACAAACTGAGTTTTCAATGGGGTGAAGGACGACATCCTCATGTTTCTGATCCGAACCGGTCAGTACCCTCTAGTCCGAATCACGACTGAAAAAACTGCGCAAATCAGCCAAAAAGAGTGGAAGGCGTTAACCCTTTATACTGAGCATTGCAATGTAAAAAAGAAATATTTTTAACCGATGAGTGTAATCCCCCATTGAGGCTAAAACGCGCGCTTTAAAACCACCCGGCCTAAAACGAAAGACACCCGAACACAAGACGAAAAACTGCACAAATCAGTCCAAACGAAGTGGAAGGAGATTATCATTTATAACACTGAAGTGTTTAAAAGGATTTTAACCGATGAGTGTAATCCCCCATTGAGTCGAAAACCCGTTTTAAAACCGCTCCTAAAACGAAAGACGTCCTTATACAAGACGCAAAACTGAGTAAATCAGTCAAAATAAAGTGGAAGGAGTTATAGCATTGCTGTGTTAAAAATAAATATTTTCAACCGATGAGAAAACAGCCAAAATTTGGCGACGCTACCACGCCGGCTTTCGCCGCCAAATGCGTCAGAGTAACGCGCGCAGAAATTCCATGCTGATGATGTGTCACTACCCAGATCTGGGTAGTGCTTCTGATTGGTCGTGCCGCGTGGGAAATTTGATTTAGCCAATAAGGAGCACTACCCAGATCTGGGTATTGACGCGTCATCACTATGAATTTTCTACGCTCGTTTCTCAGACCAGTGGTAGCGTCGCCACATGTCGGCTGTTTTCGCAGGCTACATATCAAAAATATAAATCATTAGGTGTAAAAAATGGAAAACGTTTAACCGTTAATCGTAAAGGAAGTAAGCTGTAAAAACGTTTCTAGCCACAATGCAGTTAGTTAGAGGGTGTCGTTATCACTTGTTAAGACTCCTCAAATCATCCAAGAAAGGCAACCTTAGAGACGTACAGATCTCATGTTTCAATTTCCAACTTCTCAAACAACTGACTATTTCAACAGCGAGAAAGGAGAGGATTTGACTGTTAGCCGAAAAAAAAAATACCAAAATATCTACAACGCTTTTAGAACTTGATACCCTCTAGCTGTTAACCGCAGTGCACTACTCACATGGAATAGCAACACTGGCTCAGTTCTAGCCTTGATCCAAGAAGAAACATATGGAAGACACGTCCTTAATAAAGAATATCCAACCGAGAAAGACCAAAAAAATAAATGTACTTCCCCCAGCATAAGGCGTTTACTTGTGACTTAAGGCCGGAAGAAATAACTCATTTAAACAAGCTTACCTTGAATTCATCGTTAAAATTTTAATGAAAGTTTCAATTCCAAATTTTCTTTACGTCGTTCAGTGCGTTAGATTTATCTTTGAAATCAATACCTTAAAATATGAATGCATTTATCGGGCAATAATTTCAGATTTCATTTTTAAAACTGTTTATTGACGCCTTTGAGTCGCATTTTTTTTCCACCTGAAGAACGAAGTGCCTGTTGCTGCCAACGTAATTGATCACGAATTTTACCAGAAATAATAATGCGGCTAAACCTGTGTCGGTTTTTGTTGTCTCTCAAAAGGACTTTATAATCAACATATAGCCCATCAAAACTGACGGTAATGAAGCTGAAATGTTCAGTCAGCGTAAGTCAAAGCTGCATTTTGCAGCTAATGTAATGAGTTTTATTAATTTTGCTCCACAATATATGAGAAAACAGGATGGGGTCATTGGTTTAATTCAAAGAAAAATAAGAAGAAACAGAAAAAAAACAAAAGAACTTTTTGGTGAAGGGAGCCGCCTATCATTATTGCTTTTGTTTTTTCGTAGTTAATATACTTTACTACATCGTCTGTTTTTCACTATGCCACAATGCTCTTTAGCGTTAGTTTTTCTTTCGAGTGACGGTGACGATTTTCAAATCATAGCTCATTGCACCGGAATCAGGCTTAGTTCTTCCCGAATCAGTAAAGAAAGGATATATTTTATCCACAAATTTTTACGCCGTGCTCTATCCATTCCGGCGCCTTAACATCAGCACTACTATAAGATTTATTTAACCACCTTGAACATTTTGCTTTGATGATCATTTCCTTCACGTCACTGTTAAGATGTTCACTGTCTTGTTAACCATTTCAATCACAGAAGTGCCCAAAGTCAAAACGCAACAAAATTCCTCAATGACATTTTGTAAAATGCTAAAAAAACAAAAAGTACCTTGTGGAAGTACTGCTAAAGAGGATTCGTTTGAATGGTAACTCCATAGGATTTCATCCACAGTCTCGGAAGTTAGAACTACATACTAAACAAATAGTACCTTGTGAAAGGACTGCTAAAGAGGTTTCATTTGAAAGGTAACACCATAGGATTGCGTCCACAGACTCAATTTCTTTAGAACTACATACTAAATAAATAGTACCATGGGAAAGTATTTCTGAAGAGGTTTCGTTTGAATGGTAACACCATAGGATTGCGTCCACAGACTCAAAAGTTAATACTATACATAGTAAGATGTGAAATAACTTTTGAAGAGGTTTCATTTGAATGGTCATACGATAGGATTTCATCCACAGACTCTAAAGTTGGTACTGCATACTAAATGTAAAGAACCATGTGAAAGTATTGTTGAAGAGGTTTCATTTGAAGAGTCACACCAGAAATTTTGGTCAACAGAGTCAAAAGTTAGAATCGCCTCGCAAGACTCATTATATATATTCTGTGAGTGAAACCAAGGGCGCTTTTCATTTGTCAGAACTGGCCGGCCGCACCCGTCATTTTCAAAATTAATGGACTTTTACCGAGAAATTTGCCTGAAAAATCATCTCCTTCGTTCATATTTTTTTGAATTTGACTGATCTCGGGCTAGACAGTTTTGATTAAATGTGAAATGCTCTCATTACGATGAGAATGGTCTAGCTAGCCAGTCACGATCAGTCCCAACACATGAAGTGTTAAGCAGTGATCAGAAAAACAGGGCTCAACCAGAAACATACATTACTCAATAACTTCAAAGAAAGCCACTATAAAACCTTTATAATTTAAATACCTCTGTCAATTAATAGCCAGACAGAGATGGAAACAGAGGGAGACATTATATTAAACAAATTTAAACAGAATGAAGAAACCTACTGAGTTTCGACACGATATATGAAAAGTTATTAAGCGGCACTTGCTTGTGAAACCGCATGGTATTTTTGCTGAATTATAAACATTTTAATTTTTTACGGCTGCATTAGGCGGTCCTCATTTAAGCTTCCACCGCCGGCACTCGTTTTAGCTAAAATGTAAAAAAGTTATTGTAAGTAGGGTCTTGTTTGACCTTTTTCAATTCAATTTTGGAGGGAAAACAGTTTTTTTCTACATTTAAATTATACTGGCTTTTTGTTCTGTTTTAAATGAATGTTATCGATTAACGAAAAACTAAACCCTGGTTGGTCCACCAGTGAAATATTCCCGGGGGGTACTCACCGAAGTTTTATCCGGGGAGACTCCGCCGGAGTTCCAGCATACCCTTTATATACTTTATTATTTTTGACAGAAAATGAATGGCAAAATGCACCCCTTTCACATACCTAGTTAGAACTTTTCTTCCCTTTTGACTGCTGTAAATGCAGTGTCTTTAAAATATGAATAAATCACAAAACTAGAAAGTCTTTTTATTTATACTTTTTCACATCCCTTTCATTTACTTCAACTGGTGAAATCCCTATACCCCTTTCGGGCAAACCCTCCCCGTTAATGTTTAGGCCATTATAGGAAGTACACCCCACACCCCCTCCTCTCCCCCCGGGGGGAAATACTCGCGACGATAAGTCAAATCTTCCATGTGACAATTTTGTAAACGCTATTGTCAATTAATATCTCAATGATAAGTCTTAAAAAGTGAGGACGTTTTTTTTAAATAATCATATTTTTTCGAAAATTTAGGCGTGTCATGCATACAAAAGGTAAATGTTCAAGACCATTTAGCAAAAGATTCTTCATATTTACCTGGTCATAGCTAATTTTTGTAAAATAAGTTTGAGGTTCTAGTACAACGTGGTTC